GCTGAGCAGGGAGCCTGATGTGGGACTCGATCCCGGGACTCCAGGATCATGACCTGAGCCGAAGGCAGTCGCTTAACCAACTGAGCCACCCAGGCGCCCCTAGAATAGGTAATTTTTTAAACTTACATCTCAATAAAGCTCTTAAAAAATCAAGAGATTTTATACAAGTCTATGCAAATAAATCTGACAATCTAGACAAAATGAGTAATTTGAGAAAAATAAAATTTACTAAAATTGATCCCAGTACATATAAAAAGTTTAAACAGACCAATTTCCGTAAATATTTATCCCAGTCATCTTATTTTAATTTTCCCTCTTGAAACACAAAATTTTAAAAATCTATTTTTTTGATATAATTTCTATAGAGAAGAAAACACAAAAAAGTACCAGGCCTAAATGTTTTCACAGGGAAATCAACAGCAATGCAAAAATAGTAAATAAAATATCAACAAATTAATGCACAGTGACAAAGTGGGACTTATAACTGGAATGCAAAGATGGTGTAATATCAGGAAACCTATTAATACAGCTCATCATATTAATACATTTAAGAAGAAAAGTCAAATAATTGCTGGCATAGATACTGAAAAAGCTGTTGGCAAAATTCAACAACCATTCCTAATAAAAACTCTTCAGAAATTAGAAATGTATGGATACTTCTTTAACTTGACGAAACATATACCACATATCAAAAGCCAACATCCTAATTAATTCAGAAACATTACAGGAACTCGCACTAAAATCAGGAAATGCCCACCACTATTTAACATTGTTCTGGAGGTAGTAACTAATGCAATTAAACCAAAGAAATCAATTACAGTAACAAGAATTGGTTAAGAAAGAACAGGATTATCTCTTATTTGCAAATGACATGTTGGTATACCTGGAAAACCCTAGACAATTGATGATAAAACTAACTCAAACTAAAAAATTTCAGCAAGGTAGCAGCATATAATATTAACATGCAAAAAATCAATAGCAATTATATACACAAAATAATAACCAGTTAAAAATACAATGGAAAAGGGGCACCTGGCTGGCTCAGTTGGTACACAACATGCAACTCTTGATCTCATGATCGTGAGTTCGAGCCTGACGTTGGGCATAAAGATTACTTAAAATAGATATATATTACACATATATATGTATATAAGACATATACATACGTATATATGTATATGAAAAGATATATAAATATACATATGAAAAGAAAACCTCATTTATAATGGCAACAAAAAAATAAAATACTTAGAAATAATAAGAACTGCTCAAATCCTCTATGAAAAAAACCATATAAAAGTTTTACAAGGAAATTTTAACAAATAGAAAAATGTCCCTTGTTTCTGGTCAGGATGTCTAAGCACCATCAGGCTGTCAGTTTTTCACATTTAATGTGATCACCATAAAAGTAACAATGAGCCTTTTTATGGAGCTAGACAATACGATATAAAGTTTATATTGAAAAATAAACATGCAAGAATAGCTAAGAAAATAATGAAAAGGATACTAGCCCTACCAGATATAAAAACACAAAAGAAAGTTTCTGTAATTAAAACCACATGGCACTGGTGCATGCATGCATCAATGAAATATAAAGTCCAGAAACAGACCCAAGTACATATAGAAACCTCGTATATGATTGGAAGTTATCTCAAATTCCTATGGCAAAGATAGCATTTAAAAAATGATAATAAAAGGATGGCCACTTGCAAAATGATAACATTTAAGCCACTGCTAGTACCATATGGCTAAATAAACTCCAAGTGAATTGGAGATCTAAATGTAAAAAATAAAAGTATACAAATACTAGAAAACAGCATAAATGAACTCTTCTAACCTGGGTTTTGCATATGACAAAAATCAAGATCCAATAAAAGAAAAGATTAATAAATTTACTACATAAAATTAGTTTTAAAATTTACATGCAAGAAACAACTACATGAAAAGTCAAAAGACAAGTGACAAAGTGGGAGAAAATATTTGCAACATAAGTGATCGGGAAAGATATTCAAAATAGTATTTACTGAGTGTCTACAACTGCTGGACGGTGGAGGTACACCAGACAGAGACAGACACTGTCCTACCAGTCCTCACAGTTACACAGATACATTTGGACAAGGGCCCAAACATATAAAACAAATAATGACTTCATTTCCATTGTGATGTGCTACAAAATAGAAATAAAGGGTTGTATTCCTGTGTAGAGACCTATACAGGTTTTAATGTTAAGGAAATAACTATTAAATTAAAACTAAAGAATTTTAAATAATAAATTATCCATATATAATGAAATTATAATTTCTTACCATTTTCAGAATTAGAAAACTGAGGTGCTCCAAATTCTCTTATTTGAAAATGTTTTTCCTTGTGATCTTCGGCTGCTGAAACAAAAGCACATAAATGATAAGCTGAATAAGGAGAAATCTAGCATGCTTATTTACTGTAATATTTTATAATAATTCGGCCTAGGGGCGCCTGGGTGGCTTAGTCGTTATGCGTCTGCCTTCAGCTTGGGGCATGATCCTAGGGTCCTGAGGTCGAGCCCTGTGTCGGGCTCCCTGCTCGGCGGGAAGCCTGCTTCTCCCTCTCCCACTCCCCCTGCTTGTGGTTCCCTCTCTCGTTGTGTCTCTGTCAAATAAATAAATAAAATCTTAAATAAATAAATAAATAAAAATCACTCTTTCATATTAAAAATAATAATTCGGCCTAAGTGTGCAATTGACCAAATCAATTTATAATACATATAAAATAGAGATGTAAAAATTTAAAGAATTACTTTTAAAAAAATCACATTTGTGTGTATGTGTATATACATGTGTATTTGTGTGCATAGATGGTCCCCTACTTATACTGGTCTGACTTACAATTTTTTGACTTTATAATGATGCAAAAGAGATACACATTCAGTAGAAACTGTACTTCAGATTTTGAATTTGATATTTTCCCAGGCTAGTGAGAATACAATACTCTCTTGTGATGCTGGGCAGCAGCAGCAAGCCACAGCTCCCAGTCAGCCATGTGCTCACAGGATAAACAACTAATACACCTACAACCTGCCGTACCCATAAAAACATTCTGTTTTCAGTTTCAGCATTCAATAAATTACATGAGATATTCAATACTTAATTATAAAATAGGCTTTGTGTTAGATCATTTTGCCCACCTGCAGGCCAATGTAAGTGTCTGAACACGTTTAACAGAGGCCAGGATAAGCTATGATATTCTTATGTTAGATATAGTAAATGCATCTCGACATGATTATTTGCTTTTCATTTTTGGTATAGAAAGAAAATACCTTTTTTATTTTTTTGATTAAAATTTTTTTTTAATTTTCTATTTTAATTCCAGTATAGTTAACATACAGGTGTTATATTAGTTTCAGGTGTTCAACTTAATGATATTTTCAATTTACAATGGGTTTATCAGGACATAACCCCATCTAAAGTTGAGAAAGATCTGTAATACAATATATATAATTTATATGTGTGTGTGTGTGTGTGTGTGTGTATACACACACAAATAACTTTATAATACCCATAGGTATTCAGGTCCTTTGTTACATCTATGTCCCCTTGAAAGTTAAAAGTTTTTACATTCCATGTAAATTGGTACAGCTACTATGGAAAACAGTATGGAGGTTCCCCCCAAATTAAAAATAGAACCACCAAATGATCCAGCAATACTGCTTCTGGGTATTTTATCTGAAAAAACAAAAAAAACACACAAAAAAACCAAAAACCACTACCTCAAAAAGATATATGCACCCCCATGTTCACTGTGGTATTATTTACAATAACCAAGACATGGAAACAACCTAAGTGTCCATCAATGGATAAACGGGTAAAGAAAATGTATATACATACACACACAATGGAATATTAATCAGCCATTAAAAAAATGAAATCTTGCCATTTTTAACAACATGGATGGACCTTATAGATATTATGCCATGTGAAATAAGACAGAGAAAGACAAATACTGTATGATCTTGCTTATATGTAGAATTTAAAAAACAAAAAGACAAACAAAAACCAAGCTCACAGACAGACCGGATTTGGTGGTTGCCAGAGGCTGGGGATGGGGGGGTGGGCAAAATAGGTAAAGGGGGTCAAAAGGTATAAACTTCTGGTTATAAAATGAATAACAGGTATGTAATACAGCACGGTGACCAGTTAATAATACTGTATTGCATATTTGAAAGTTGCTGAATAAGTAAATCTTAAAAGTTCTCATCACAAGAAAAAAATTTTCTGTGTATGGTGATGGGTATTAACTAGACTTATTGTGGTGATCCTTCCACATTATATACAAATATCAAATCATTATGTTGCAAATCTGAAACTAGTATGTCATTTATACCTCAATTAAAAAAAAGTTTTCACATTCAGAAGCCTATCCCTTCCCTGGTGGACTTGTGTCTAATTCTGTATTCTCTGAAAGTCCATTTTATGTTTTATTCTGCTCGATCTCCGTGTCTCTGCACAATAGATACTTATTTTATGTGCATAGTTGTAAGCAGCTTCTCTGCATTCCTCATCTCCACCAAAGTGAGAGTAATTTCATGTGAAGGGAAAGATCAAACATAAGTGCTAAAAGACAGCATACTCCCAAAGCTCCCCAGGCAAAAAAAATTGTTAAAAAAAAAAAACTATCTCCAAGTTTGGGGTGTATACTGAGACAAATTATGCCCTATCATTAATTTGGGATCCAGTTGCCCACATAATTCACCTGTACCTCATTTACAACCCAGTATAAACACATAGACCAGAAAAAAAAAAAAAGCAAAGAAAAACAAAAACAAAAAGCCCGAGATTTTGACATCTTTAACTATTATCAAGGATACTTTATAAAGAGATAATGAAATGTAAATGTCTCCTATGTAAAACATGAATCGTGTTGCTGTATAGTGAGCTTAGAGGGTGTAATACATCTAAAGACAAGGTAGTAATATCTCTACTACACTCTTCTTAAAATTTGATGCTCAATTTGGGATACTACAAAAGAAAATGGAAAAAGTTAAATCAGCTAAAGCAATCAAAAGAAAACCAAAATCAAAAGAAAGGTATAAGGAATTCAGTGTTATTTAGCTTTAAGATAAAGAAGCAAAGGATAAATTAAGTTCAAATAGTATAAAGATGGTTTAAAACTACAAAGGATAAAAAAATAGACTATCAGTAAAGATTTCAGTTGAACTTTGGAAAAATCTGAGTATGGGAAAGAGATTCTGGAGGTGGCTAGAAAAGGAACTGAAGAGGAGAATAAGAGTTTGAGGGCAGGGAAAGAATGGGTGACAGACAGTCACACACCATGGAAATTTTGGTAAGCTACAGAAACAGAGTTTGGGGAATGGAGAGGTACTAAAGGATCTTTAAGGAGATGTTGCTCTATAAGACACAGGTTAATCTCCCTCCTCTCTCTTCCCCAGAAACCTTTAATAATGATGTGCTTTACTCCACATTGCTTTTGGTACTTACGTGGGGTTTGGTTTTCTTTCTTTCTTTTAAGATTTATTTATTTCTTTAAAAGAGAGAGAGCGTATGAGTGTGTGGGGAGGGGCAGAGGGAGAGAAGCAGACTCTGCTAAGCACGGAGCCTAACATAGGGCTCAATCCCATGGCCCCGAGAACACGACCTAAGGCAAAATTAAGAGTCAGACACCTAACCAAATTGAGAGAAACCAATAAATAATAAAGACACCCGACCAAGGACTTCAAATATGTGTATTTTTAGATATAGATATGAGACAAAAGGTGAGAAAGAACAAAATACTATAAAAACCAACGAGGCACAGACTTGTAAAAGAAACAAATAGGACTCTTAGAAATAAAAAGTAAGCTTGCTGGGGAGGTGGGAAACTCATATAGATTAAACAGATTAAATGCAAGAAGAGAAAATCAGTGAAAAACAGACCTGAAGAATTTACCTAGACCTGAAGAACAGAAGGAAAGGAGATGGAAAATATGAAAGAGAGGATGAAAGATATGAAAGATGAATGAAAAGCCCAATATAAGTTTACTGAGGTTCCAGAGGAGGAAATAGAGAAAACAGAGGAGAAGCAATATTTTAAAAGATAATGGTGGAGGTATGCATATTTATCATATAAGAAAAAAAAAAGATAATGGTTGAACATTTTCCAGAACTGGTAAAAGACACAGATACAGGAAATACAACTTATACTATGAAAGATGAAAAAACAAAAAAAACCCTGCACATTTAGACACATTGTACTGAAACAGCAAGAACACCAAAAACAAACAGTATATCGTAAAAGCAGCCAGAAAGAAAAACCAAATTCACTAAATAATTAGACTAACAGAAGATTTCTCAACAGCCCAGGGAAAGCAGAAAACAATACAATATTCACAAAATGGTGAAAGAAAATACCAACCAACCTAAAATTGTTTACTGAGCAAAACTGTCTTTCAAAAATGAGAAATAACAATTATTTCCAGACAAACATAAGTCAAAGTTCACCACCATGGCATCTTTAGTTACAGAAAAGGAAAATGAGATCACAATGAAGAACTGAAATATATGAAGAAATAGTAACAAAGGAAAAATACTGGTAATATATAACATTTCTTCATAAAAAAATATTTATTGATTTGTGGGAGATCACAAAAAGGGAAATAAAACATTGAAGAATAATGGGAGTGACTGGGTTTAGTTTAAGATCTTTGTAATATTTTGGGAATACTGAGATAGTCATAAACCTAGCCTTTATTTCAAGTATGCATGATATGGGCACCTGGGTGGCTCAGTTGGTTAAAGTATGCATGATCAAATTCAAGGGAAATTACCAAAAACAGAAATAAGATGTGTAACTTCCAAACTAGTACATGGGAAAAAGAAAGGACTAAGAAATCTTTAATAACAAATGAAAAAACCTTAATCAATCCAAAATAAGGCAAAACAGGGGACAAAATAATGGGGTGGAAGAACAAAACAAAGAGAAAACAGAAAATACAAGTCCAAATATAAATCACGATGATAAATGTAAATGGACTAAATTCATCAAACAAAGGAATGACAAACTGATATATGGGGCCTTTAAAAAAAATTCAGCTTAATTTTATTTACAAGAGACACACCCTAAGATATAAGAACATGGGAAAGTTGAAAGTAAAAGCGCAGAAAACGGTATACAAAGCAAATACTAACAAAAATAAAACTACTTAAGCTAAGCTAATGTCATACAAAGGAAACTATAAGCCAAGAAGTAGTATTAGGGACAGAAGGGGTCATTATATAGATAACAAATTAATTTGCTAAAGAGATATAAGAATTCTAAACTGGAGCACCTGGGTGGCTCAGTCAGTTGAGTGACCAACTCTTGGTTTCAGCTCAGGTCATGATCTCAGGGTTGTGAGTTTGGGCCCTGT